GTTCGTTGGGAACCTGGGTTCCTCACGAACCCAGGAGCCTGGGTTCGTGAGGAACCCACGAGCTGGGTTCCCAACGAACCCAGGAGCCTGGGTTCGCCTAGAGCTAAAGAAAAAAAAAGAGAAAAAAAAAAAAAAGGCAGAGGAAGGAGAGGATGGGGAAAAAGATGAGGGTAAATCAGTAATTAAATGAAAAAAATTTAATCACGTCATCCATTTTTGCCAAATGAATTTTCCACGTAATTTAGTAGAATGGTAAAAAAAAAAAAAAAGTTTTTCCGTTAATTAACATGACACCTCAGCTAAAATTTGACGGAAGGACTAAAAAGGGATCGGATTTGTGAACAGTAAGGACCAAAAAAGGAATTTTTTCGGTACAAGGACTAAAAAAGGGCTTTTTCCTATAGTAGAGGGACCAAAAAGGGTATTTAACCTAGTAAAAAGTAGACAATTCCATCACGTTTTAGCACAGAGGCCAAATATCGAGCACTTGGAGAAACCACATCAGAGTTACTTAACTTACGTTAGCTACTAGAAGATATGGGTGTTCCTCAACCACATGTTACTAATCTTTACTGTGAAAATCAAAGTGTCATGTAAATTGCTCATAATGATGTCTTCAATGAACGCACTAAACTCATTGAGGTTGACTGTCACTTTGTTTGCCATCATGTTGCACAAAGAACTATTCATTTGGTTTTCATTGGCTTCGTTGATCAACCAACAGACCTTTTCACCAAGGCTCATTTTCCTGAATGCTTTCGTACTCTTCTTTCCAAACTCAAGTTGGTTTCATCATAATCACCTTGAGTTTGAAGGGAGATGTTAAGATGTGAACACACTTATTGTAAATTTTTATACTTTAGAATATTCTCTTTATATACTTTATACCTTAGAATATTCTCCTTATAAATATCTATATATAGATGATTGTACATACAGTATTATTTAAGAAAGCAATAAACCTTTCTTCGGATATTTCTCTTTCTTTTCAGTTTCTAACAATTGGCAATAGCAAATAACAATCTTTCTAAACTTATGAGTTGGATTTGTTAATAAAAAAATATTATTTTACAAATTAAGATAAAGATTTAAGTTTTAGAATCAATAATAATATTGTAACTAAGTTGAGTTGCTTAAGAGAAATTAAGTTAAATCGAGTTTAAGTTGAATCCAAAACTTAGTTTAACTTGACTTAGCTTGACTCAATTTGATTATATTAAGAAATTATGTATATTAAATAGTTAGAATTTTATTTTTATTTAATTTAAATTTTAAACTAAATTCAAAGAATTAATCGAGTTTGTGACTCAAGTTCAAGTTAACAATTAAACTTATGAATTGAGTTTGAGTTTGAGCTTATGTATCTAGTTTGAGTTTGCAAATTAGGCTTACAAGTTAAATTTGAATTTAATATATTTGAATTTGACAAAAACTCAAATTTGACCCGATTCCTTATTGTAGTATCAAGTTTAAATTTTATAAAATTTGACTTAACTCATTTTAATATCTAATTTATTAAGCTAATTTACACCCTTAAAATCACTCAAAGAAGAAAAGATAGTGACCGTACCAAAAAAAAAAAGAAAAGAAAAGAAAAGAAAAGAAAAGAAAACAATTCCCTTAAGTCTTTTTTTGATATTAATTCCCCAGGACTTAACTCCTTTGAAAATGAATGAAAGTTGATTGAGAAATTCGAAAATGAACGCTAGAATAACCCATACCAACCAGGAACTAGTTATGCAGCCAAACACACCTTATCAAATATCAAAATGCATTTGAGGGGTAGAATGGTCAGGAAAAATAGAATGGTAGATCCCAAACAAAGCCAACCATTGACATCATAAGTCAGAATCGAACCCTCAGTACATCTACTCTTGTCCATTTTCTACAATCTTCTTGTCTTCCTTCTTACCTAGACGAACTTAATTATTGCAAAATTCCCAGCCAGCGCTAGATTCTTTTTCTCTCTCTCCCGAATTGAGGTTGTTTGTACCCTAAAATTTTCCAAAATCGGATCTTTTAACCGCTCTGAGTAAATTTCTTCTCGGAATTCTTAAACCCAATTTCCCTTTGGATCTCCCAAGCTTTTCTCTGTGATCTTTTTCTCTGTTTTCTCAGGTTCTCATCAATCTTGCAATCAAAGTCACAGTCTTTCTCTGTAAAGGTACAAACTTTTTCCATTTCTCTTTTACAATTGTGCATCTGGTCTGGTCATACATGCGATTTGGTCTAGTGGGTATTTATGAGAATGATCAGATTGTGGATATGATCGTTTTTCTTTCAAAATTTCCCCTCCCCCTTTTTTGATGAGGGTTTGTGTAGCTTCTTTATGGGTGTTATTTCTGTTGAAACCTTGGGAAAATTAGTTGATTGAATAAGCTCATCTTTCTTAGCCTTTGATATCAAAATGATTAGTTCTACTATCTTTCTTCTTTGTATATGGTATAACTTGGTTTGAATTGGATGTAGCATGTCTTCATAAAACTTTGTTTAAACCTATAAAAGTTGACAAACTTCACAGAAATTAGAAGGAGCTACCTTTTATTTCACTATAAGCAACAGGTATTCAATTTTTTGTTACTTTTCTTTGGTTTTGAATCTATAGCTTTGGAGTTCTATTTTCTAAGGTGTGTTTTTGTTCCTTTTTTGGCTTGCCATATATGTTTGTAGTCTTCTCTTGCTTCAATCTGTTGATATACATGCTTTAGCACTCTAGTTATGCGGAGGCAGATACATTTTATTTTGTTTCCTATAGATCAGGATGGATCAGCAAGGTCATAGCAAGCCAATGGGGGTTTCTGGTGCTGTTGCTCAATTGTCTTATGCTACAAACCCTTATCAGAACCAAATGACTGGGGGTGCAAATCCAGGGCCAGTTGTAACATCGGTTGGGGCAATTCAGTCTACTGGGCAGCCAGCAGGACCTCAACTTGCGCATCACCAGCTTGCTTATCAGCAAATTCACCACCAGCAGCAACAGCAGCTACAGCAACAGCTGCAGACATTTTGGGCAACTCAGTACCAGGAGATTGAGAAAGTTAATGATTTCAAGAACCATTCCCTTCCTTTAGCAAGGATCAAGAAGATCATGAAGGCTGATGAAGATGTGAGAATGATTTCAGCTGAGGCACCAGTCGTGTTTGCTAGGGCATGTGAAATGTTCATCTTGGAATTGACATTGCGTTCTTGGAATCACACAGAAGAAAACAAAAGAAGGACTCTTCAAAAGAACGATATAGCTGCAGCAATCACTAGGACTGATATATTCGATTTTTTAGTTGACATTGTTCCAAGGGAAGATCTGAAAGATGAAGTACTTGCATCAATCCCAAGGGGAACAGTGCCTGTTGGTGGGCCTGCTGATGCACTGCCATACTGCTACATGCCAGCTCAGCATGCAGCTCAGGTTGGAGCTCCTGGGATGATCATGGGGAAGCCTGTGATGGACCCTGCTATGTATGCCCAACAGCCTCATCCCTACGTGGCCCCACAAATCTGGCCTCAGGGACAAGACCAACAGCAATCGTCTTCAGATCATTAGTGGCTGTAGCAAGGAAGTTAAGAAGGTAAGGCCTTTTTTTTTCAAGTAGTCTTAACTTCCTCTTTTTTTTGGTCATTGAGAAGTAGAAGTGGAATGATTAATTGATTAGTTGGTGGTGAATCACCTGCAAAGTTTCTTATCATTCCTTAGAATATACTTATGCATTTATTCCAAGTTTCAAATATCGTTTCTATTATTTGGTACACCTGATTGTGGACTGTACACCAGGGAATAACCCACCTCACAGATACCTAGGTTTGAACTTGAGACTACCTCCAATTTGGAAGTCTCAAGCTCTAACAATTGGGACATCCCCTAAAGTACAATATTGTTGCTATCTTTAAGTAAAGGCTTCCGTCTTCTATGGCTGGCAAATCATAGATGTTAGGTTTTTTGTTCAAGCACTCAGCTCTATTGATGATTTTCATAGTTTCTTCTTTCTTGATCTTAAGTGTAACTCAAATTGTTATTCCATTTACTAGCTTTCCATAAAAAAGGAGGCCGTTGCTTTCTTCAAACTTGCTTATAATCTAGTTTTTTTCTAAAAACTGTCTTCCCTTCCAAAACATTTTCAAATTCAAGAAACAAAAAGTTGCTTAAAAGCAAATCCCAAAAACCCTCCACCAAACACCTCCTAGGTTTGTCATGATGATTTGTATCAATTTCGGTTAGGAAGAACAGAGAGAAGGAAGTTCGTTAACTATTTGTTGACCTATTTGTAAAAAAAGAAAACTATTTGTCGACCTAAGATGCAAATAAGCTGGAGCATCTGCTGCTCTGATGTGACTCATTCACTCCTACATGTGCATTGCAGTCTTTTGTTCTCACCATTTTTAAGTTTTTGTTGAAACATCTTTTTCCCTTGGCAGTGAGGTTTTGAAGTTTGTTGAAACATTTTTGCATCAGCACTCAATATCTACTTTATTGTACATAACTCCTCTTAAGTTTGTTGACACGATCAAACCTTTTTGGTTGATTTTCATTTGCTTCCGTAATTTGTTACAGACTAGGCGTTCGTTGAGGCACCTTATGACGGCCAACGAAATGGAATAAGGAGGCTTCTAGCAGTTGGGAAGCTTACACCTGAAGAATATAGACTTCATGTAAATATATTATACTGGGAATCGTGCCTCCCAACTATGCCTTATCTTTTTATCTATTCGGCTGTCCTTTTGTCTTGTTTACTAGTACTGGTCAGCCAGAGATGTACAAATTGAAGTTTAGCTTTGAAAGCATTCTGTTGGCTTGTTTCTATTAATCAATGGATGTTTATTCCTTGATCTCCTTTAACTTGTATATTGTTCTGGTTGCTTTGCTATTTATGACTTGCTAACCACATGCTCATGTGAGATTTTTTTTTTTTTTCTTAATTTTTTTTGGGCCAAAGAGATTTTGGACTAGTGATTGGGATATTGATGTGTGATGTGCTTTTGAGTTTTCCATGGGCAATTAGAGCAAGTTCTTAGGTTGCAGAAACCAGCAACTCAATTTGGTACTGGCCTTGAAATAGGGACAGCTAACAGCTAAATTAAATGAATTTTCTTGGTACAAATAAAATTCAGATGACAAAGCTTCTAGATTATGCAGCTCCAAGCCACACCACGCCATGGAATAATATCAAGAAGCTAATGTGTATGATGCAGGTTTTAAGGCTTGCAGAGCCTTACAAAGAAGGCTCAATTTGATTATTTTCAGCTTAATCCATGTCATCATCACTACACTAATACAAACGAGATTAGACCAGTCAAACAATTGGGGCATTTTCTTAGAGAAAGAACCCTTCCATATCATGGATCCGATTTTCCTCCTGCATAAGGGGCACGGTATAATTGTTACATCTTTAAGCAATCATCTCATCAAAATCATGGCAAAGGATGAAAGACATACTAGGGTCCTTTTAAGTCAATATATTCCAAGTTCAGGGTAATCAGTTCCAACCGAAGACAGAATTGAAGGCTAAGCTCACCTATATATCAATTTGTTGGTCTTTTCATCACGATTCCCTCAAGAATCCCATCGGTGCCAAAATTACCAGAAAACTGCTGAGGTTCAACTGGCCCAGGAAGCTGAAATGAGATTGAGAAATGTCCTGGTGGGGAAAGGTTCTGTGATTGCATTTCAAACACTTGAGAGTATCGGTATACTCTTTTCTCACCAGTTGTTGTCACTCCCCTTATCAATACTTTACCATCATTGTCAACTTCACAGCTAAATTCACCTGCAGCCATGATCAGAAATCAAAACTCTTCATCTATAGTGATAATAATGGATCTGCCAAAAGACAATAAGTTGTGGGATCAAAAAAGGAGCTCTAAGGGCATCAACATCATGTACAAGGTTTGTATCATTTTTCCTGGAATGACCTCTATCCAAATTGCGTTAACTGAACTATTTCCGATTGCAGAGCAGAAAGGAAAAAAGGAAACAGGATAGAATGATCTCAATGGCATGCTTCATGAATTTCATTCAAATAAAGGCAACTTACAACTAACATGAGAAAGCACTAATCAATAAATGATAACCAGCAAGTGATAACATACAACTTACTTTCATCTCTCTTGACCCCTGGAAGAGACACACGGAAGAGGTAAGAGTCTTCACATTCTCCAATATCCATTTGTCCTATGATTGGCCCCACATGCCCCATGGCTGCACTGCCAGTTAATGCAAATCCAGTTTTAGTAGCAGCTACCATGTTAGCCAACTCCTGCTTCGTTGGGTGAGATTGAAGAAATATCATTACTGGACTATCTTTCTCTGAAGCATCTAGCTCATGTTTGGCTTTAGTAGGAGCTTCAGATGTCACAGGAGCACTGCTAAATGGCATACAATTGCTAGGTTCCAGATCTTGAGTACATTGATCCTTGCTTTGCAGCATGTCATTTACTTTCCTTTGTCTTTTGGAGCCACAAGGAGTTCTGGTGGGAGGCAACTTTCCATTAGTTTCAGCGTCCTGCAATGCCACATTGTATGGATCACCACCATTCCTTGAAACATGCAGCCTTGCAGCATCTCTATCCAATAGCAAGTCCTCTAGCCCAGTTAACCTTTTAAACCGTGCAATATCTTCTGGCTTGATGTAAGAAACTTCTGGATTGTTAATAAATGAAATGTTCTTGATGATTTTATATCTATTTCCCAGCTTAGAATGTGGATGCATTTCAAGAGGAAAAAGATCAGGAAACTGAGGATAGACAGCAGCTGTATGACCAGGGGGGATGAAGAGATTGCCCTTCAAAAATTTGTCAATAATAGGTGCTTTCACAACAAAAGATTGATGTGCCTTCCTAAGCACATGGAAGTATACCCTCTCTACTTCTACTGTTTTAATATGTGATCCAGCTAGTTGATCAGAAGTATATGGTGGAAGGCACTCAGATTTTCTTTGCAAAACTGACTTTTGGGGCTTCTCTCTTTTTAAATCAGGCCCAAAGTAGGTACCCATGATGAAATACAACAGGAAATGCTGGTCATCATTTGGCATCAATGGAGTCACCTTGTCACTGGACCCTACCCTTGCAGCAGTTAGCGAATTTTTAGTCTGAGATCGGATTCTCATTGAAGCTGCACAGAGTAAAGAAAATTTTCCCAGTAAGAGCAATAGCAAATAAAGGAAATTGAGATAAGTAGGGCCATAAGTAGCAACAAAAGGTTCAAATTAAAACAAGAAAATACTTTATCTGGCAATATTTTCTGTTTTCTGGTAGAGTCCAATGCTCCACTCCATTAAACAATTTCAAATAATATGACATTGTAGTTTGCCCATACACACATTAGCTGAGTCTCTAGATTGAGATTCAATCTTGTTAGCTTCTAAGTATTTTCCTAAAAAGAAAGTTGCTTCTTTTGATCATATCACTTTGATATCCACCTCTATTACCATAGATCCTTTCACAAGATAACATCCACCACATTCACCATTATATCATTAAAGTCCACTAATTACAATTTTGCCACCACCAGCATAAAATTTTACCACAAATTGAAGTTGGCTCTGCACAAGCTCACATGTTATCTCCTAGTCATCAACTTAATCTTAAGTCAAAACCAAAGTACAATTGAAACCATTAGCCTACCACTACAACAATCAGTTCCACTGCTTCATATCACCTGCACACCATTGGTATCTTCACTACAGCAAGAATGCAACCAAACCCCAGGACCCATTGTCTTTCCAATGTAACCACAACCCCTACAGTTACCACCATTAAAGTAACTGAGCAGTATTCCCACTCCATCCATTTCTATCAGCATAAACAGCACTGCAGATCCTTAATTTTTTTCACCAATTATCACGAGTAATTCATGATAGCAAACATATCCCTACAAATACAAACACTACGCAGACTCTCTGCTATGACATCTTTAGGGCTCTTATTGTTGAAATCCCCAAAATTGAGGCTGTCGAGCCATATTTATCACCAAAATTATTACGAATATAGTGAGGGAGAGGAAAAGGGAATGGATTCAATTGTCAGAAGAAACAGGAAAAAACGGAGACAGATGTCCATAATTAGATGCTTCATTTGTGAAACTTGACTCAGCAGATACAAAATTTTCATTTCAGTCATAGACATATGGGAAAATTCCGAATTCCTCTGTTAACTAGAGGAATATTCGTTTATTAACAGTTAATCAACAAACAAGATATTTTTGAAAAGTAGAGAACTGTCTTAATGAGTTAGAAAAAGGTCTATAACAATAGTCCCAATGATTGGACTGTGAAATGACTTCTTAAGTTAAATTTGGAATGTTCATACAAACATCAATATGTGCTGGCATTTTTATCTGATTTTCCACCTACTTGAAGCACTGCATATGATACAGAAGCTAAAATACCAGATAAACAAACAATTTATTGCAATCCAACAATGCTGGTACAATGAAAAAAAAAACAATGCTGGTATGATGATCAAGAATAAGTCAAAAGAAGAAAATTGGGGGAAAAGAAAGAACACAAAAAAGCCTCTAAATTTTATCACAAACAAAGAGGGATTCCCTATCCAGACCAAAGAGATGTTCAATTTCGAAGTAGACATTAAATCAAGAATACATGAAGCCAAATATGCATGCAATTTAACAAACATCAAATTTGCCACCAAAATGATGGCTAAAAGGAAAAACTTCATCACTATAATATAACCCACGTCAGGTTCTTGAAAAAAAATCATGATTGTCCCTTCAGAAACAAGATTTAATCCAATCAAGTAAAACCCAATAATATTTCAAATGAGATACAGGTATGAAGGCACAAAATTGCTAATAATTCACACTTCCAGCAAAACCTAAATGAAACCCATGAGACAAAATAGAAAAAGATCACAACTTTGATCAAAATTATGCACATGCAAGCATTTCCACACCCACATTCTCCAATTTATACATTTTGCAATATATTTACCACATTTGAGAAGAGAAAGAAGACAAGCTGACCAGTGAAGGGTTGTGAGACTGGAGACAAAACCCAAAACAGGGTTTCTGCTGCTGTTCCGTGAACGTGAATAAGAAGAGTGAGAATTATGGTAAGCAATGAAGCATTAGTGATATGTACCAAAAAATAAAAAGAAAAAAGAAAGTAAGCACTAGTGATGATGCATTAGTGAGAGAAATGAATGTACCAAAAAAAAATTAGTGAGAGAAATGAAGGAATTTTCTGGCGGAAAAACCCATACTCTGACCTGAAACTTCCATAAAGTTATCCATTTAACCCATAACGTAATTTCATTATCACATTAGCCTTCATACTTTGAGCAAGAACATAAAAATGATAAAATAGAACTTCTTTTTTTTTTTGATTAAAAGTATAAGTAACTTTATTACCAAACCATATGACTGAACCTCCTTTAACAAAGACTTAATTCAAATTTTTAGTTTTTAAGGTTAAAACTTGAAAATATCAACAAGTTAGACCTTTTAAACCCATGCATAAACCTCTCATTAACAATCAAGTTACATATTTATATGTATATAAATGAGCTAAATTAGATTATAATCCTCATATACTATAATCCCTCAAATTTTAGGGGAATTGGAAAGCACATACAAATTGGACCACTAAGAGCACAAGGTAGAAGTAGATAGTGCTTTAGTGATAATATCAGCACACTGTAATGAGGATGAAACATATTGCAAAAGAATAGCATAAGAGGCAACCTTTTCACAAACAAAATAGATATTGATCATGATATGTTTCGTCTGCTGATGCTACATAAGGTTAATGGACATATAGAGAGAACACCGAGAATATCACAAAGAAGAATTGGTGCAAAAGAGAGAAATATCTATAATTCTGCCAATAATTGTTGAACCCAAATAACCTCTGTAACTACATTAGCCATAGTTTGATATTCTCCCTCTATATTAGGGAGAGCAACAACATGTTGCTTCTTAGAAGACTAGGAGATGTGACCAACCAAAAAATAAATATTGTCTAGATGTAGATCTCCAACCATCTAAACATCCTTCCCAATTAGCATCTATATAAATGTGTAGAGAAGGTGAAAAATCTCTAAATAACTAAAGTCCAAGATGTAAAGTACCATTCAAATATGGAAGTAAAGTATCCTTCACGGCCTGAAAATGATTTACAGTTGGTGCATGCATATATCAACCAACTTTTGCTTTGGCGTTATAGGAGTGCCAACTGATTGCAATCAAACATACTAGTGTGAGCTAACAAATTAACAATGTACGTAGTCAGACAAAGAAAAAGACCATCAAAATTAAATCGAGTTGTAATTCCCAAAAAAAAATTAAAAACACCTACATCGGACATAAGAATTCCTCTTTTTAATAAAGAAATAATCTGGTACAAAAAATATTGAAAAGATGAAATGAAGATAATATTATCAACATATAAAAGCGAAACAACCATCATACCACCCGAACGATACAAAAGAATAGAGTTATCAGAATAGGCCTGTATGAAACTACAAGAATAAAGAAACGTCGCAAACCTTCGAAACCACACTCAAGGGGCCTGTTTTAGACCACAAAGTACATGTTGCAGTAAGTATCCATGATTAGAATTTAGGATGTTGTGGATCAACAAAACCCAGTGATTGTGACATGTATACTGGTTTAGACAAATGACCATTCAAAGAGGCATTTTTAACATCAAGTTGATAAATAGGTCAAGATGTGGAAAAGGTAAGAGTAAGAATAGTACGTATGGGAATCAGGTTTCACCACAATACAAAAAATATCATCATAGTCAAGCTATTGTGTAAATCCCTATGCCACTTGTCACACCTTGTATCTTTCAATGCTACCATTAGCTTGTTGCTTAATAGGATAGTGTTGTTAATAGGATAGACCCATTTTGACTCCACAATATTAGCAATTGGAGATGGAGGTACTAAAATCCGTGTGCTATTCTGAAGTAATGCCCGATATTCTTCATTCATAGCAAATCAATAGTAATGTGCACCATGGATGATAAAATTTTTCGGTTTATCGTTGCCTGCTCGTGAACGAGTCACCATACTGTGAGTTCACCGATGAACATCACTAGACGAAACAGATGGAGCAATGGACAACACTTGTTCTGCCTCAGACATGGAGGATGAATAGAGGCAAGCTGTATCAGATGAGGTGTGGGCCGGTGATAGCGAAGCATGCTCAGAACAAGTGGCAACAACATCATCGGAACCCAAAGTTGAAGAATCAGGGGATGTAGGAATGGAGGCACTTGGGTTAGATGGGGGCAGATGGGAATCCGAATGCTGCAATAGATCCAAGGGTGTGGGTGTGGTGGTGGATTAAGGACCTAAAGAGGAAAGGCTGAAAGGATGGGGTAAAGTGGCTGTGTGCGAAGGAATGGGTGATGGTGTGGGCACGGTTGGTGAATAAGATTGGGCTAGAAATTAGACGAAGGTAAGGGAATGTCCATTAAATTAAATGAAGTTCAGAAGAATGGTTTAGGCAAGTTTGGTTGAGGAGGATTTTGGTAAGGAAATAAGGCTTCATTAAAGGTGGCATGTCTTCATTAAACGTAAAATAATTTTTTTGTTATCAAATCAAGACAGTTATAGCCGTTGCGATAACTAGGATATCATAAGAAAATGCACAGAGATAACTTTGCCAAGTAACATCTGATGAGGTGTAGAAAACTGCATCTCGAACAAGGTAAAATGTTAATTAGGTAAGCAGCTACATAAAGAGTTTTCACTCAAAATTTATTAGGTAATTTTGCTTGAAAGAGTAAATAGTGAATATTACTCATGATTATTCGATTCATGAACTTGGCTTTCCCATTTTGTTTAAGAGTGAGGAATAAGAAGAACGTAGGTGAATGCCGTTCATTTGAAAATAGTTAGCAAAAAAATTCATAACCATTGTCACATTAAAAAGCTTTAATTGGAGCACCAAATTAATGAGCGGCATAAGTGGAAAATCAAAGAAAAAAATTCAAACACTTGAGATTTAGAATGTAATAGATAAACTCATAAATAGTGACTATACTCATCCAATAACAAAAGATAATATTTAATACTCATAAACAACATAATTGGTGAAGTCTAAACATTCGAATGAATTCAATTAAAAGGTGTAGAGGTAATAACAGAAAAGAATCAATGAATGGAAGATGAGTATGCTTCCCTAGTTGACATGCCTGACAAGACATCAAACGGTTTATTTTATTGTTGGAAAAAAATGCAACCACACCAAACAAGCTGAGAAACTAACTTTGAACCCAAATGAGCAAGATGAAGATGCCAAACATCAAGAGGCACAACTATAGTAGACAAAGCATTGGAATAACTTTAAGACAGAGTTAGACATTAGATGTAATCCCTTAATAAAATATCTTTAATAAAATAATATAAAAAATAATTTTATTAAAGGTATTTTAATAAATTTATAGATCAAACTATACTTTTAATATGTAGTCTATATTGTAAAATATGAATTCCTACTACATTATCTGCCCTATGATAAATTAACTTAAGATAAAATGCATTTAATGTAAACATTGTATAATTCCATCTAATCTAAAGAGGTTTTTTTTTTTTCTTTTTCTTTTCCAATCAAGACGTTTATTATAAGAATTGTGGAAAATCATGTTATTTTGACAATTAAAATATTAAAAATGATGATAACAAGACTTAAATACCTTTAATAAATCAATGCACAAGAAAGATTCATTAAGGTCCTTATTTTCACTTTTCTCTTCGAACTAATTGAATTACAAAATAAAAACCATTAAAAGAAGGGACAATTGTAATATTAAGAAACTTGCCACGTATCTAAGGGTTTAAGTTGTACAATCTAGTATAGTTTAGATTATATGATTTTTTTATATTATTTTATTTTATTATTATACAAAACAAATAGAGTAGACTTATGTACTTGTAATGTTTACTATTCCTCTCCTTCCATATCTTGAATATGAAAATTTTTAAATAAAAAGGATTATGCACTATGAATTGCAAAATATAATAGAGGATTATCCTCAAATAGAGATAAAATAT